GGTTGAGGGCACGAAGCAAGGGCGCACGCCCAGCTCGTTCGCGGTTCCTCTCGGCCCCGGATGTGACTGTTTGGCTGCGCCGCCTCGCGCCTTACGCTCGACGGGATTGGACGCCGGCGGGTGAGGTCATCACTGGGCGCCGAGGAGGGGAGCGGGAAGAGCAGGTATGAGGCTGGGGCCGGTGGCTTTGATGCTGCTTTCCAGTGCCTTTTCCTCTTTCTGGTCTGGTGGCTCCGCGTCTGCTCTCCTGGGCCCCGTTTCCTGTGACGTTTCCCTGTGTCAGTTAGGTCCTTGCTTCAGACTCCAACTCAGCGCGTGAAACTTTTCTTTCCTTGCTGGCCAGTTCCTAGCTCCCCCACCTTTTTGTGTAGCTTGGGCAGCGGAGGCCGTCTTGACCTGGTCAGGCTCTCGTTCTCCCCGAATATCGGCAGTTAGCCCAACGTCTGTGCCTGTGTGCCTTCGGAAAGTAAGGTGGCTGCGACTGAACACCCCCGCGCCCACGCCTTCGAGTGCCATTTGAGTGCTAATTAACTGCTTCTGTCTTTTGGACAAGGTGTGGTCTTTACTGGAGCCACCGCTTAGTAAGCAGATGAAGGCAATGTAGTTTTAGTCAATTAAACATTCCAATAGGGAGAATGACGTGGAGGCCATGCTTATAGATGGATTCTTGGAAAGGGAAGAATTTCAGCATCCCAGCCTGGGCAACATTGAGAGACCGTGTCGCTACAAACTATAGAAAAATTAGCCGAGGGTGGCGGCGTGCGCCTCTGGTCCCAGCTACTTGGGAGGCTGAGCCCGGGAGGTCGAGGGTGCGGTGAACCATAATCGACTGCTGTGCTCCAACCTGGGCGACAGAGGGAGGTCCTACCTCAGACACACACACACACACACACACACACACACACACGAATTTCAGCATTATTTGATTATACTACGATTTCCTAGGTGGCCCCAAAAGTTTTCCGACAGCCTTTAAAGAATGCTTAGTAAGAGAATAATAATAACCATCATTTGAGTCACGGTGTGAACCAGGCACTATACTAGGTCATTTACGCAGATTTTTATATACATAATTCTCAAAACAACTCCATGAGGTAAGTAATTAAAATAATAAAGTTCACAGACTCCCTTAGTCAACTCCAATGTCTTGGAACCTTTATGTAGTAAGAAATCTTTTCTGAAGCTTCTTGCTATATCTATCTCTTAGTCTCTAGTAAAAGCAAAGGAACGGCAGCTACCTTCCCTACCCTCTGATACATGGTGTTTGATTATTACTCGCCTGTCCGTTCTCATATGTCTTTTTCACAAAGTCCAGTAACCCTAATTTTCATTCTTACCAATGCCAGCGCCACAGCCCTTCAGTCATTTTGGTTGCTATCCAGCTTCTCCACATCAAGTCCAGCTTTAGAAACCCCAAGCCGGTAAAGAAAAGTTGACCTCTGCTGACTATGGTGATGGTGACTCTCTCTCACTAATTTCTTTAAGTTTTCGAGGATAAGCAGAGTTGATCCATCTGAAAACGAGATAATGAACTAGACAGAATGAACAGCCTTAAAGGCACAAGCGCTTGAAAGGGACAGTGATGTTATGACTGGTGCAGAGTGATTCGAGATCATTCATTTTTAAAGACTGGCCTTTATCCTGTCACAGTACAGCCGAGGTAGAACCTTTGAAGGATCCGATGTTTTTCTGGTGCTAATCTCTAGCCCAGTCGCTGAGGTGACTTTCAACGGCAGACCGTCTCCTAAGTGCCCCAGGTAGAATTTCAAAGTAAAAGATTACCCTTCTCAGCCCCTCCTTTTCTTTTTTACAGATCTTTCACCTGCTCATCACCCACCCCGCCAAGCCCCTTCCCCATGTTCAGTACTCATTCTGCGCTCTGGCCGATGAGAACTGCCAGCTGCGGCACTTCACCCTTTTAAAAAATGCTCTCGGCCAGGCGCCGTGGCTCACGCCTGTAATCCCAGCACTTTGGGAGGCTGAGGCGGGCAGATCACCTGAAGTCAGGAATTCGAGACCAGCCTGGCCAACATGGTGAAACCTTGTCTCTACTAAACATACAAAAATTAGCCGGTCGTGGTGGCGGGCGCCTGTAATCCCAGCTACTCAGGAGGCTGAGGCACAAGAATCGCTTGGACCCAGGAGGCGGAGGTTACAATGAGCCGAAATTGCGCCATTGCACTCCAGCCTGGACAGCAAGAGTGAAACTCTGTCTCAAAAAAAAAAAAAAAAAAAAAATTGCTCTCAAAATAACTCACCTGGCAGGGCACGGTGGCTCATGGCTGTAATCCCAGCACTTTGGGAGGCTGAGGTGGGCGGATTCCTTGAGCTCAGGAGTTACACCAGCTTGGGCAACATGGTGAAATCCTGTCTCTACAAAAAATACAGTAATTAGCTGGGCGTGGTGGTGCATGCCTGTAATCCCAGCTACCTGGGAGACTGAGGTGGGAGGATCACTTGAGCCCACAAGGTGGAGGTTGCAGTGAGCAGAGATTGGGCCACTGCACTCCAGTATGGGTAACAGAGGGAGACCCGGTCTCAAAAAAAAAAACAAGAAAAACTCACCTTTCCCTCACCCACTCAATATGATTTCAGTAGGTATTAGAAGGAAGTGATCTATTATCTGATTAAAGTAATTTACAGTAGGATATGATTAACTGCTGTGCTTGACGCTTTAGGCAACTCGATAGGAAAGGAGAAGCTTGTTGACTTGATACATGAATGTGAGGATGGTGACACTTCACCTCTTTCTGCCAGGCTTTTCCAGTTGCAGTCAGAAAAGCAAGAAACAGTGGCTTGCCAACTCATTTCTGAAAAATTGTTTTGATTTAACCCAACTTTAATTACATTTCTTCCCACTACCCTTCTATCACAGCAATCTGATTGTTTAACTTTTTGATAGTGTTCTTTGGTGTGTTTCAAACAATAACAAATCATTTTAATTTTATAGACTAAGTAAATGATTTTGGAGGCTCTGGTTGAATCACTGATCAATGCTTTGCACGATAAATCTTGATTGACTAAATTAATAGCCACAGAGTGTATGGATTTCTGGGGCTTTCCAAACTTCCCTCGGCCTTTTTTTTTTTTTTTTTTTGAGACAGAGCCTCACTCTCACCCAGGCTGGAGTGCAGTGCACAATCTCAGCTCACCACTGCAACCTCCACTTCCCAGGTTCAAGCAATTCTCCTGCCTCAGCCTCCCAAGTAGCTGGGATTACAGGCACACACCACCACGCCCAGCTCATTTTTGTATTTTTAGTAGAGACAGGTTTTCTCCATCTTGGCCAGGCTGGTCTTAAACTCCTGACCTCAAGTGATCCGCCCGCCCCAGCCTCCCAAAGTGCTAGAATTGCAGGCACGAACCACCACGCCCAGCCTCCCCGACCTTTTTTTTTTTTTTTTTTTTTAACATTCCCAGGAATCGTTATTTGTTTTTATTTTTCTGACTGGAAAACAATCAGTAAATATTATCTGCGATTTAGAGAGCAGGAGTTTAGTGTGTAGCGTTTAATAAGATAGTGATTTAGAGAGCAGGAGTTTAGTGTGTAGCGTTTAATAAGATAGAGCTGTTCTTGGGGTCTTGTGAGACTAATAGAACAAGAGTTACTACTGGTTCCATTGTGGAAAAATTTATAGGAACTGTAGTCTTTATAATACTCCCTTTAGGGACAAAATTCGTTTATTGCCTATCTTCTCATACTTTGGAGTAAAACTTAACCAAATGAACCTTGAAGATTGAGTTAAATCTTTTCTAGAAAAGAGTTAAATTAGAAAACCTGCTAAAACGTTTGTCTGTCGGTCAACATTTATTTGGCTCTCCTGTGGGTAGATTTGTAATGGAGAAATAGGAGCATTAGAAACCCTGCCTCATTCTTGTTTCAGAGAAAACCTAAAATCCCAGCTGGGATCCAAAACCTGTATGCACACAAATATCAGCAAATCTTAATGCTCTAGAGTATAGACCTCCTGACTTCAAAGTTGATTCATCATAGCAATGATCTGGCCGATGAGAACTGCCAGCTGTGGCACTTCACCCTTTTAAAAAATGCTCTCGGCCAGGCACCGTGGCTCGCGCCTGTAATCCCAGCACTTTGGGAGGCTGAGGCGGGCAGATCATCTGAAGTCAGGAGTTCGAGACCAGCCTGGCCTCGAAGAAGAGGCTGGGAAAGAAATGATCAACATTCTAAAGATTTGAAAGCATTGGCTGGGTGCAGTGGCTCATGCCTATGATCCTAGCACTTTGAGAGGCTGAGACGGGAGGATCGCTTGAGCCCAGGAGTTCGAGAGCAGCCTGGGGAATGTGGGGAAACCTCATCTCTACAAAAAAATACAAAAAATTAGGTGGGTTTGGTGGCGAGAGCCTGTAGTCCCAGCTAACCAGGAGGCTAAGGTGGGAGGATCACTTGAGGCTGGGGAGGTCAAGGCCTGCATGACAGAGCAAGACCCTGTCTCAAAAAAAAAAAAAAAAATTGAAATTGTTAAAATTGTAACTTAAATTGACTTTTCAATATTCAATTCAAATTTGTAGAATAGCATCTTTATCATGAGATAAGTCAGTATTACAGTTCCTTAGCCTAAATACTATCAGTGCCTTTCGTTTAAAATCTTGGTTTATCTGGAACTTTTGGCAACAGTCTTCGTTACAGCATATTTACCTGCTGCTGTTTCAGTACTTGTCAGCAAAAATCAAACCACCAGGGCTCCCTGTTTTTACCTCCCTCTGAGTCATTTCCTCTCCAGTCCTCTCCTTTAAATATTACTGCTTCAGTCTCCAATTAGTTTCTTCTGTATATTAATTGAGTGCTTCTGCTTGAAAACAAAGTTTAATTTTGTCTTTTTTCCATTTTAGTTTTATGAACATTTCTATATTTGATTTTGTGACCACGTTTCTGTTACCTTGATTACTAATAGATCAGTGATTTTTTTGCAGTCTAATTAGTGATCCTGTGTGTGACTAAAAGTAGGGGGAAGCTGGGTGCGGTGGCTCACGCCTATAATCCCAGCACTTTGGGAGGCTGAGGTGGGCAGATCACTTAAGGTCAGAAGTTCAAGACCAGCCTGGCCAACATGGTGAAACCCTGTCTCTACTAAAAATGCAAACATTAGCCTGGCATGGTGGTGGGCGCCTATAGTCTCAGCTACTTGGGAGGCTGAGGCAGGAGAATCGCTTAAACATAGGAGGCAGAGGCAGAGGTTGCAGTGAGCTGAGACTGCGCCATTGCACTCCAACCTGGGTGACAGAGCAAGACTCTGTCTCCAAAAAAAAAAAAAAAAAGCTTTGTGTTGGAAATGGAAACTTTGGGCAGATTGCCAGATTATTTTAAATGATTTTTCCAAATAAGGAAATTTATCTCTGTACCATTGGGCTAAATTCAAGTATCTTACCTGGAAATAGCATAGCAGCTCTGGGGTCTGGCACTCGGGTAAGTTCTCCTTTCGCTTATGAAATTAAAAATTAAATTTGTCGAGATAGATTTGTTTGCTTCCTTTTGTCTTGACCAAGAGTAGAGTTGTATAAATTGCCCTGATTCCTTTTTTGCCTTGACCAGCAGGCAGGCAAGGCAGGCCAGTATTATGTGGCATTTCCAGTGTGTCTATATCTGGGATTCCTAGAGGATCAGAAATCTAAATTTTGCACTGTTGTGTAAATGCAGGCAGATGATAATATGATTAAACATATGTGAGTACATTTTAAAGCACTGATGACTTACTAGTAATTTTTGGTCATTTTCTGTTTCTTCAAAGACTAATAACAAAACCGTTGTCAGGTGGAGTTGTTAGAAAAGGACCTTCATTATTTAAATATTTGGAACCTGGGCAACATAGGGAGACCCCCCCCGACTTTGCAAAAACATAAGATAAAATAAAATAAAATAAAAATTAGCCAGGCATGGTGGTGCACATAAGTGGTCTGAGCTACTCAGGAGACTGAGGTGGGAGGATTGCTTAGGCCTGGGAGGTCGAGGCTGCAGTGAGCCACGATTGTGCCACTGCACTCCACCTGGGTGACAGAGCAAAACCCTGTCTCAAAGGCAAAACATTTGGGATCCCTTACAAATCCTAAGAGTCAAGTGACCTTGGGAAAATTATTTAACATTTCTGAGACTCAGTTTTATTATCCCTAAAATGGAATAATACCAATCAAAAGGGTTGCTTTGAGAATAAAATTAGATAACCTACTGAATAAGTATCTGGTGGGAAGACCCAAGGGCCTGCCATTTTCACCAGTTCCCCAGGTGGTTATTAGTGCAATACAGATTCTGCAATTCCATTGTACATCAGGATCACCCGGAGAACTTACTAAAACACATTGCGGCCAGGTACGGTGGCTCACGCCTATAATCCCAACACTTTGGGAGGCCGAGGCAGGTGGATCACCTGAGGTCTGGAGTTTGAGACCAGCCTGGCCAACATGGAGAAACCCCATCTCTACTAAAAATACAAAAATTAGCCAGGCTTGTTGCTGGGTGCCTGTTATCTCAGCTACCCGGGAGGCTGAGGCAGGAGAATTGCTGGAAACCGGGAGGTGGAGGTTGCAGTGAGCTGAGATCGTCCATTGCACTCCAGCCTGGACCAACAGCAGCGAGACTCCATCTCAGAGAACAAAACAACAACAACAACAAAAGCACATTGCTTGGTCTCACCCCCAGAGTTTCAGATTCAGTAGATCCGGTGTTGGGTCTGACAGTTTGCATTTCTGACAAGTTCCTAGGTGGTGCTGATGCTGCTGGTCTGGGGACCACACTTGGAGAGTACTGGTGCAGTACATGTGATGCCACTTTGGACCAGCCTAATAAAAACAGAAAAAGTAACAATAGGAATACTTGTTGAGTACTCATTATGTGCCAGGCACCATTATGTGTGATTTACATGTATTATGATCCTATGAAATAAGTGTTGTTATTATCCTCATTTTATAGAGAAGAAAAGTGAGTGACAGAGAGGTTCAGTAATTTGCCCAGTCACCTAGCTACTACAAACCTGGAGAGCCTGGCTACAGAGCTCATCATCTAAAACATTATTCAGATAAGAGGTATAACCTGATGATTTTGCAGCCCTCTCTTTAATAGAATTTTTCCTAATTTAAAATATTTAGTGTTTATTCTTCTGTGGGTTCCATATCAAAGACTGGAGGACCAGCCTTACCTAGATCCCTGATGGCAAAGGAAGCCCACTGAAGCATTTGCCAGCCAGGATACAACCCTGTGTTCAGCTAGGCTTTTGGAGACTTGATCTTTAAGTGTCCTTTTTTTTAAAAAAAAAAAATTTAGTTTTTTTAAGATGTCTTTATGAAATACTGTTGATTACGTCTGTCTCCTACCATCAAGTCAATGCATAAAACATGAGATTACAGTTGTTTCCCCTTCACAGAGTCTTCGGGACCATTATGGCAGTCAAGTGGACTGGCGGACATTCTTCTCCTGTCCTCTGCCTAAATGCAAGTAAAGAAGGGCTGCTGGCTTCCGGAGCGGAGGGTGGAGATCTCACGGCTTGGGGTGAAGATGGAACTCCATTAGGACACATGCGGTTCCAAGGGGCTGATGATGTTACCAGTGTCTTATTTTCTCCCTCCTGCCCCACCAAGCTCTATGCCTCACATGGAGAAACCATTAGTGTACTGGATGTCAGGTCCCTCAAAGATTCCTTGGACCATTTTCATGTGAATGAAGAAGAAATCAATTGTCTTTCATTGAATCAAACTGAAAACCTGCTGGCTTCTGCCGATGACTCTGGGGCGATCAAAATCCTAGACGTGGAGAACAAGAAGGTCGTCAGATCCTTGAAGAGACACTCCAACATCTGCTCTTCAGTGGCTTTTCGACCTCAGAGGCCTCAGAGCCTGGTGTCATGTGGACTGGATATGCAGGTGATGCTTTTGCACAGAGTACTTGGAGAATTTCTGAGTGGGATTTGCTAACAGAATCAAATTATTGATCACACCAAATACCTTTGCTTTTTCTGTTTTCTACTAACATATCCATTTATGAATGATAAGCCTTATTTCTACATTTAATGCTAGTCTGATAAAATCTAGTAGAATTTATTCACAAAGTAATCGTTAATCCTTTACTCTTCCTTTCTCTGTACTGTAAGATATTCCTAAAACCTGAAAATTCAAATATTTGGTTGTAAACATCTGTTTAAACAAACAACGGTGAGTACTAAAGGCAGAGTTGGTCCACCCATTCTCTATAAACTCTGTTTAAACAAAAAGTGAGAGGGATCTGTTTTTACTTTAAAGTTCTGGGGTACATTAACTGAAATATTGTGTATTGGTGATCAGGATCAAAGCACCGTATTCAATGCTGAGTTTTGAAAGGAGCATCACGGCTGGGCGTGGTGGCTCATGCCTGTAATCCCGGCACTTTGGGAGGCCAAGGTGGGCAGATCACTTGAGGTCAGGAGTTCAAGACCAGCCTGGCCAACATGGTGAAACCCTGTCTCTACTAAACATACAAAAATTAGCCAGGCGTGCTGGCGGGCGCCTGCAATCCCAGCTACTTGGGAGCCTGAGGCAGAATTGCTTGAACCCGGGAGGCAGAGGTTGCAATCAATCGAGATCTCACCACTGCGCTCAAGCCTGGGCAACAGAATGAGACTCTGTCTCAAAAAGAAAAAAAGGAAAAAGAAAGGAACATCACAAATTGCCCAAATCCAGAGGAAGTCCATCAGGAAAGCAGATATATCTAGAAACCCCATTATGTAGAGAACTGGAGGTGTTTAATTCTTAGTTTTCTTGAGGGAAAAAAATGGAATATGCTGGTCTTTGTAAGAGAAGTCATGGGAAAGCAGATTTGGGCTTAACGTAAACGTTTTCAAATAGCTTGAACGTTCCCATGGCAGGATGTGCTTCCTCTTGAGAGTAAATCTCATCACGGGAGTGACAGTCGTCACGATTTCTCTCTGTTGAGCACTTGGTTCTTGACAGTGCTTTGTGTATATTCGTTTTAATTCTAGTCACATCATCCTAGTGATTTTGTTTTTTTTTTTTTTAATAAAGAAACTGAAATTCACATTAAGTATCTACATAGCCACCTGACTGGGATTCAAAGCTCAATCTCTCTGGCTCCTAAGGCTGTTTTTTCTCTAGGATGACAGGTATTCAAGCAGAGTATCATCAGTAATGTCACAGAAAAGTGTCTTGGTTTGGGATGAGGTGGCTTCTAGAGAGAGAACCATTGAGAATGACCTGTGTCCAGCACTGTTTAGGCATTTAGTCTCTGTTCTCAGTTGCATACAGTATCTTCTAAGATTCTGTGTTCTTTTTAATAGCATCAGAAGTTTTGACTTCCACCCTCTTGGCTAGTGGTCTTTACCTCTCCCTCCCCAACCCTGCATCCCCCTTATAATTTAAGAATGATGAGACTGTTTTTGTTGTCACCATGCTGTTCCCCTCTCCTGCAAGCTACCAGTATTCAGTAGGCAGAATCAGTGGCTGTCCTGCAATGCTGGGATATCTCCAAACAATAAAGAATTGTTCCCCAAAAAACATCGATAGTGCCTGGGTTGAGACTCACTCTACATGTGTGGGGCATAGTGACCCTGCAACCTCTACCTTCCTTTTCCACTCCTAGGTTTTGACCAAGCCCTTTATAAATCTCGTACATCCTCCACCCTAGTGGTAATAATCTGCCCTTGTGGTTGTAAAGAAAGAGCTGTACAACCAGGTGGACATGTTTTAAGTAGGCAGATTGTACAGTGTGTCTTTGAGTAGTCGTTCTGTCATCCTTCAGCTATACCAGTTTTCCATCAGTAGCTCGTTAATTAACCACTAGGCATGGCGATAGACAATTAGGTATGCAAAAGTGATGTGTACTTTTCAGATTAGATAAGGAATGGGCATTCAGAATTTACTCTCTTACCACCAGTTCCAGGTAAGACGTTTTAGTGGCAGGCACTTGCTAGTGAACAGCCCAGGAAACAAGTATTTTGAAAAAGGGAGGCTCAGGTAATTTCTTATTTCGATTTGCCTGGCAAAATTGCTGAACGTTCGTGGTAGATTTGTTTCTACACTGGGTTGTGATGTAACAGCCGTACAACCATGCTTTTAAGAAATTATTTCCTTAACTGAAGTTGAAACTCTATAATTTTTTCCACAGTTTTCTTCCTAAAACCTGTTCATCTAGTATTATCCTAAACTTAAGGATAGCCAGTCTATGGGGGAGCCCAAGAATGTCAGCATAATAATAGTGGAAGGGAGTTGTGACTATTTTGAGTTCCTGCTCTCTGAGCAAACAGATTTTATCTCAAGGCAGCAATTGAATGATTGCCATGTTCAGCACACCTATCTTTGTTCTTATGTAACAGTAATTATCAAATTATTTCTTTTGACTTAGGTTTGAATAATTAGGCAGGGCCAGGCGTGGTAGCTTACGTGCCTGAGGGCTCATGCCTGGGATCCCAGCACTTTGGGAGGCCAAGGCAGGCAGATCACTTGAGCCTGGGAGTTCGAGACCAGCCTGGGCAACATGGCAAAACCCTATCTCTACAAAAAAATTACAAAAATTAGCCAGGTGTGCTAGCATGCACCTATGGTCCCAGCTACTTGGGAAGTTGACGTGGGAGGATCACCTGAGCCCAGGGAGGTCGAGGTTGTAGTGAACCGTGATCTTGCCACTGCACTCCAGCCTGGGTGACAAAGTGAGACCTTGTCTCAAAAAAATAAAATAGGCAAAGCACATTCAAAGAGGCAAGGAACTTAAAAGCAAAGTGTGGTTCGTTAAGACACTTGAGACTGCTTAATTTTTTATTTAATAGGTACAAAGTAATATTTATATATGTGAGGTATAAAGAATAACATTAGGTTGGGCATGGTGGCTCATGCCTTTAATCCTAGCACTTTGGGAGGCCATGGGAGGTGGATTGCTTGAGCTCAGGAGTTTGTGACCAGCCTGGGCAACATAGCGAAACCACGTCTCTACAAAAGATAGAAAAATTAGCCAGGCGCATGGTGAGCACCTGTAGTCCCAGCTACTTGGGGGACTGAGATGGGAGAATTGCTTGAGCCCGGGAGGTTGAGGTCGCAGTGAGCCAAGATTGTGCCTCTGCACTCTAGTCTGGGTGACAGAGGGAGACCTTGTCTCAAAAAAAAAAAAAAAAAAAAATTAAATAAATACCTGTATACCTACCATTCAACTATACTTTTTTTCTTGAAAGACTTAGAAAATTAAAACTGTCATATTTCTGTAGCATACATGTTGATGTTCTTTCCCTGCCCCTTTCTGCATCTGAAAACAGATGATTCAAAGGTTTGTTATTCTTTCTCAATTTTGTAAGACCAAAATATCAACACTTACAGACCAGAATGGTGGAGAAGGCTGTTTTGTTTGTGTTTGAGACAGGGTCTTTGTCATCCAGGCTGGAGTGCAGTGGTATAATTATAGCTCGCCACAGCCTCGCACTCCGTCAAGTGATCCTCCCACCTCATCCTCCTGTGTAGCTGGGACTGCAGGCACAAGCCATCACACCCAGCTAATTTTTTTTATTTTTTCTAGAGAGGAGGGCTGGCTCCCTATGTTCCCCAGGCTGGTCTTGAACTCCTGGGCTCAAGCAGTCCTTCTGCTTTGACCTCCCAAAGTGCTGGGATTATAGGCATGAGCCACTGCACCTGGCCTTAAGAGGCTCTTTATCTTGAAGATGAGTCTTTTATATGGAAAGAAACGTTTTTGTAAAAGGGGGATTTTTTTTTTGAAAAGTCACTTTGTTACTATTACATTCACTTCTGAACATTTGCTGGTTCCCCACTTTTTCTCCCTTCGATGTTTTACAGAACCGTGAGCCCCAAACACTTACATTGTTTTCTTTCAGTGTCTCTGGCTCTCTTGCTTAGGATGATAACTGCTTGAACAGCTGGTTGAGAAATTAAGTGTGAAACACCTCGGAGTCTTTAGCTGCTTGGAAAAGCCAAGAAGCGCAAAGGGAATGTCCAGACAGGAACAGTCTGGAATCCTCAATACATGGGAATGATTCCAGACTTGGTAGAATCTGGGGTGGCTGTTGACACGTTTAGATGGTTTCAGTCAAATACAAAGGTGTTTCAGCTGCTGAAACACTTGGGGTGCAGTTCGTGTTTGAATGTCTTTGGAGGACAGAAAATACGAGAAAGAACTGGGGCTATCTGCCAATACAGTGAAGCTAGCAGATTCTAGAATGTCCATTTTCCTTGTGTGTATGTATATATGTATTTTAAGATGGAGTCTTGCTCTGTTGGCCAGGCAGCAGTGCAGTGGCATGATCTCAGCTCTGCCTCTCAGATTCACACCGTTCTCCTGCCTCTGCCTCCCGAGCAGCTGGGACTACAGGCGCCCGCCACCATACCCAGCTAATTTTTTGTATTTTTAGTAGAAACGGGGTTTCACAGTGTTAGCCAGGATGGTCTCGATCTCCTCACCTCGTGATCCGCCCGCCTTGGCCTCCCACAGTGCTGGGATTACAGGTGTGAGCCACTGCACCCAGCCGTGTTTAGATTTTTTAATAGAAACTCTTTTTGAGCGTTGTGGCTGATGTGTGTAATCCCATCACTTTGGGAAGTGGAGGTGAGCGGATTGCTTGAGCCTAGCAGTTGGAGACCAGCCTGGGCAACATAGCAAAAACCCTGTCTCTACAAAAATTAGCTGGGTGTGGTAGTGTGTGCCTGTAGTCCCATCTACTTGGGAGGCTGAGGTGGAGGGATCACTTGAACCCGAGAGGTGAAGGCTGCAGTGAGCCATGGTCGTGCCACTGCACTCTAGCCTGGGTGATAAAGTGAGACCCTATTTAAAAAAAAACAAAAACAAACTATTTTCATATCAAGTTTCAGCACTCCTTCCTGTTATGTTTTCTAATATTTATTTGTTTTACTTTAGCTTATTTTAATTTGTTAGTACTTTAACTTCACCCAAATAGTGATTGTTCATCACATAGTATAATGTTATAAACCCAATTCAAAGAGATTTTCATCTAAGAGAAGCAGAATATAAGTGTTAGTAGATGTCACTGCTTTTGAAAATAAGCCAATAAGAATAATCACAAGGGAAGTTACCTTGAATAGGAAACCAAATTCTTAATAGCATCAGCAATGCTAATCTTGCCAATTCAGATCTATGCTTTTCCTGTCTAAACAAGGTCATGCTTTTTCCAGTGTCTATTAAAATTATGAGTTATAATTCAGGGATGATGGTAAACTACATGGTAAAACAGCTGTCTGTTCGCTTTGAAAGTATTAAGAGCATTTTTCTTTGCAAATGGTTGATACAGGAAAAGAATGAATCACTAGATGATAATGTAAAACCCATTCACAAAGCTTATTAAAAAAAAACAAAAGAAACCAGGTCGGGAACAACAACGAAAAGCCAAATGAAATTAATACCAGGATGTCATATTAATCAACAGACACATTTGGAATTTCTCCTCTTTCTCAGCCATTATGCTAGGCATTAGCAAAGACTAATTGAGTCTCAAGAAACTGATAAGCTAGCAGAATATGTCAGTTAATAGAACAGAAACTAGATACAGGAAAGAGAAGCAGGCTGAAATAGGAAAGCCTTCTTGGAGGCACCGGGACTGAGCTTAAGCCCCTTGGATGGGTAATTGGGTAATGTGAAAGGAAAGGAAAGGCATTCCAGATAGAAACCATTTCAGTGATACCCAGATTGAGTTTATTTACTTGATAGGCCTTGTTACCTATAACCAGCATAGACTAAAACTAGCAAATTTCATAACGTTTGGTTTCACTTGAAGAGATGAGAGCAGAAAAACCTTTAGAAACTTGCTTAACAATTACACTTTGATGGGGTTTATTAATCAAAAATTACTCAGGATCTTGTTTAATTCTACCTTACTGCAATCTAGTTTTAGTCCCGGGGTAGCATTCCACTGGCGTGTTATGGCAGCATTTGATTATTTTTTTTGTACTGCTGGGAACCTACCTTACTGCTCATTCTCAGACCACTTTAACGATTGTATTAGAAGCTGAATAAGCACACGGTAGTTGAGCAAATTGACTAGCATTTTGTATGACTGTGTAATTTCTTCTTACGTAAAGGTGATGCTGTGGAGTCTTCAAAAAGCCCGACCACTCTGGATTACAAATTTACAGGAGGATGAAACAGAAGAAATGGAAGGCCCACAGTCACCTGGTCAGCTCTTAAACCCTGCCCTAGCCCACTCTATCTCTGTGGCTTCGTGTGGTAATATTTTTAGTTGTGGTGCAGAAGATGGTAAGGTTCGAATCTTTCGGGTGATGGGAGTTAAGTGTGAACAGGAACTGGGATTTAAGGGCCACACTTTAGGGGTATCCCAGGTCTGCTTTCTCCCAGAATCCTATTTGCTGCTTACTGGAGGGAATGATGGGAAGATCATGTTGTGGGATGCAAACAGTGAAGTTGAGAAGAAACAGAAGAGTCCTACAAAACGTACCCACAGGAAGAAACCTAAAAGAGGAACTTGCACCAAGCAGGGTGGAAATACTGACGCTTCAGTAACGGATGAGGAAGAACATGGCAACATTTTACCAAAGCTAAATATTGAACATGGAGAAAAAGTGAATTGGCTCTTGGGTACAAAAATAAAGGGACACCAAAATATATTAGTAGCTGATCAAACTAGTTGTATATCTGTATATCCCTTAAATGAATTTTAAATCCAATAAAAACATTTGAAGAATTGTGGCAAAACTGTTTTTCAGATTTAAAAAAAGATCCTGGTTCTTTATTTAAGCTGTTTGTTATATGTAAAATCATACTATTTTGCTGTACAAATTTTAAGATATTTGAACAAAAGACAATTGGATACTTTATATAGTAAGTGATATATTAAAGTTTGGAGGAAGAGAATGAATATTCATTGTGTACCATGTACCAGCCATTTTACATATATTTGATTTCTTGTTCTGAATCAATGAAGTTTTTTTCCCCATTTTAGTGCCACAGGAATTAAGACTTTAGAGATGTTATGTAACTTAAAGATCCAGGAAGATTGCAGGCACAATGACTTGTCTGGAAAGGACCTTGTTACGCTGCCTACCCTAGGGAAGCCCACATCCTGGTCCAAATCGGTCACCACATTAGTTACTTCTGGCCGTGTGCAGTGGCTCACGCCTGTAATCCCAGCACTTTGGGAGGCCAATGCAGGCAGATCATCTGAGGTCAGGAGTTAGAAACCAGCCTGGCCAACATCGCAAAAATCCATCTATACTAAAAATACAAAAATTAGTGGGGCCTGGTGGCACATGCCTGTAATCCAAGCTACTCAGGAGACTGAGATGGGAGAGTCGCTTGAACCCAGAAGGTGGAGGTTGCAGTGAGCCAAGATCACACCACTGCACTCTAGCCTAGGCGACAGAACGACTCTGTCTCTAAATAAATAAATAAATAACATTAGTTATTTCTGATCCCAGGATGTCATGAGCATTACCACGTTGGAAGAGGAAACCTGTTCTTGCTTGTTCTGTGTAAAGCCCAAATTGCTTTGCTGACAATTACCTTTTGCTCTGTTTCTAAAAAAAAGGGTTCCAGGGTCAAATCAGTTTAGGGTGTTATGCAGCAATCCAGGCCATGATGCTGGTGGAGTGAGAATGAATTGCAGTTATTAATGAGCAGAAATTCTGACTAAGCAGAAGATAGAAAAGAGAATAGAGGCCTAGATAGGGTGTCAAGAGTTAGGTTCCTTTTCATTGAGGCCTGGATTGCTGTCTTCTCTGCATGTTCTTTCAGCTTTCACTCATACTGCCTACTCTTACAAAAGTTTTTTAAATTTTAATTTAATTTTTTTTATAGAGAGGAGCCTTGCTATGTTGGCCAGACTGGTCTCAAACTCCTGGCCTCAAGCAATCCTATCTTAGCCTCCCAAAGTGCTGGGATTACAGGTGTGAGCCACCGTACCTACATTCAAAGCTTTGAAGAGATCATCTGATTGGTTACCATTATTCTTGTTTGTAGAGATCTGTTTTTCATAAGTTCAGTTTTAGTCAGGACTTCTGTTGCAGGTGACAGAAACCAAATTCAGATTTGCTTAACAGAATAAAAAGGAATGTATTGGCTCCCACAACTGAGAAGTCCAAGAATAGTCAGGTGCATACTGCTGGGGTGGCTACGCTGGCAGGGTAAGCAAAAGAAAGCACCCCAGCCTAAATTTACAGAGAACCAGCATATCATTTTGAATATAGCTCAGTTCTAATACTCAACTGGCCACTCAAGGTGACAGATAGGAACTTCAGTGGTCACCCCTCGGAAACAAGATTTCAATGTCCCCCACCTGTGGAAGGCTGAAAAACATCTTCCAAAGATAACAGGTTGTAATCACTGGAACCTGTATTACTTATTACTATTAAATATAAATTTTAATTATTTAAAATATTGTGAATATGAGATTGCTATGTAATTATTAAACAATATTGATAATGATAATATTTATATTTAATGATAAGTAAATTTATAAACATTTGGCAGAAAGATCTTCACAGATCTGATTATGAATCTTAAAAGATTGTGTTAAAGAAAATAACGATATTTTGCAAATAACCTATGCACATTCTCCCATATGCATTAAATGATCTCGATTACTTATAATCCCTAATACAGTGGAAATGCTATATAAATAGTATTGTTTTTTATTTGTATTATTTTTTATCATTGTATAGATGTGTTCCGTTGTTTGTTCTTCCCTGAATACATCTGAGCCACGGTTGGTTGACTCCACGGAGTGTGGAGCCCATGAGCACCGAGGGGTAACTGCGTGCTTTTCTATTCTTATTAGAGTGTAAGATACTTGAAGGCAAAGACTACCTACCCTTTTTCACTTCAGAGCATATTGTGTGGCCTGTACTAGGCTGCCCAGCCAACACAAACAGTACTCATAAGATATTAAATGAACCGAAGGAGACCCAGAAAGTTCAAATGTGAAAAAAATGTGCATAGAAAAAAAAAGCCTGAAGGGAACTGGTGGCAGGATTGCCTGGCAGCTAAACCCAACCCTTTGCTTGTTCTTCAGGTTATTTTTATTTTATTTATTTATTTATTTATTTATTTGAGAGGAAGTCTGGCTGTGTCACCCAGGCTGGAGTGCAGTGGTCTGATCTCAGCTCACTGCAACCTCCACCTCCCAGGTTCAAGCAATTCTCCTGCCTCAGCCTTTTGAGTAGCTAGGATTACAGACACCCGCCACCACACCCAGCTAATTTTTGTATTTTTAGTAGAGACTCAGTTTTGCCGTGTTGCCCAGGCTGGTCTCAAACTCCTGACCTCAGGTGATTCCCACCTCGGCCTCTCAAAGGGATGGGATTACAGGCGTGAGCCTCCACACCCAGCCTCTTCAAGTTATTTTTAACACCAGCTATCAGGACTACACATTCTCCTAACCAATGCTCAACTCACAGACACCTAAACATGCTCATTTCACATTTTTCTTTTTTTTTTTTTTTTCTTGAGACAGTCTCACTGTCACCCAGGCTGGAGTGCAGTGGCATGATCTTGGCTCACTGCAACCTCTGCCTCCCGGGTTCAAGCAGTTCTCGTGCCTCAGTCTCCCAAGTAGCTGGGATTACAGGTGTTCGCCACCAAGCCCAGCTAATTTATTTGTATTTTTAGTAGAGATGGGGTTTCACCATGTTGGCCAGGCTTGTCTTGAACTCCTGACCTCAAGTAATCCACCCACCTTGGACTCCCAAAGTGTTGGGATTACAGGTATGAGCCACTGTGCCCGGCCAATTTTTGTATTTTTAGTAGAGGTGGGGTTTCACCATGTTGGCTAGGCTGGTCTTGAACTCCTGACCTCAGGTGATCTGCCTGCCTTGGCCTACCAAATTATTTCACATTTCATGTAACCTCTGTAAATTACAAACAGTTTGTGGTCCTGGATACACAAACCTGAGGCCGATATTGTGCCACCCAACCACTCTTTGCCAAGGGCAGAAATACTTTCAGGATTAATCAGTCACATTCTGGCAGAATCATGTGTAGTTCTGGTGACATCAGCCTATGACCGGCTCTCCCTTGACCACAATTTTGCTATTTACAAGCAAAGAATTAGTGAAAAACAGTAATGCACAGTGCATATGTTTTATATGTGTGTATGTGTGTGTGTCTTGTTTGCTGAACTATTTGAAAGTGAGGTACCTTGACACTTTGTACTAGTCTGTTTTCATGCTGCTGATAAAGACATACCTGAGTCTGGATAATTTACCAGGAAAAAAGTTTAATGGACTTACAGATCCATGTGGTTGGGGAGGCCTCACAATCATGGTGCAAAGCAAAGAGGAGCAAGTCATGTCTTACATGGATGGCAGCAGGCAACGAGAGAGAGCTTGTGCAGGGAAACTCCCCCTTATAGAACCATCAGATCTTGTGAGACTTATTCACTGTCATGAAAACAGCACAGGAAAGACCTGGCCCCATGATTTAATTACCTCCCACTGGGTCCCTCCCACAACATGTGAGAATTCAAGATGAAATTTGGGTAAAGACACAGCCAAACCATATCATTCCACCCTTAGCCCCTCCCAAATCTTATGTCCTCACATTTCAAACCCAATCATGCTTTCCCAACAGTCCCCCAAAGTCTTAACTCATTTCAGCATTAACTAAAAAATCCACAGTCCAAAGTCTCACCTGAGACAAGGCAAATCCCTTCCTCTATGAGCCTGTAAAATCAAAAGCAAGTTAGTTACTTCCTAGATACAATGGGGGTACAGGCATTGGGTAAATACAACTGTTCCATATGGGAGAAACTGGCCAAAACAAAGGGGCTACAGGCCCCATGCAAGTCCAAAATCCAGCAGGGCAGTCAAGTCTTAAAGCTCCAAAGTGATCTCTTTTGATTCTGTCTCACATCCAGGTCACGCTGATGCAAGAGGTGGGTTCCCATGGTCTTGGGCAACTCTGCCTGTGTGCTTTGCAGGGTGCAGCCTCCCAGCTGCTTTCACAGGCTAATGTTGAGTATCTGTGGCTTTTCCAGGTGAATGATGCAAGCTGTTGGAGCTACCATTTTGGGGTCTGGAGGATGGTGGCCCTCTTCTCACAGCTCCACTAGAGGGTGCCCCAGTAGAGACTCTGTGTGGAGACTCTGACCCCACATTTCCCTTCCACACTGCCCTAGCAGAGGTTCTCCATGAGGGCCCTGCCCCTGCAGCAAACTTTTGCCTGGACATCTAGGTGTGTCCATACATCTTCTGAAATCTAGGCAGAGGTTCCCAAACCCCAGTTCTTGACTTCTGTGCACTCACAGGCTCAACGCTATGTGGAAGCTGCCAAGGCTTGGGGCTTGGACTCTCTGAAGCCACAGCCCAAGCTCTGTGTTGGCCCCTTTTAGCCATGGCTGGATTGGCTGGGACACAGGACACCATGTCCCTAGACTGCACACAGCATGGGGACCCTGGCCCTGATCCACTCAACCATTTTTTCCTCCTAGGCCTTAGGACCTGTGATGGGAGGGGCTGCCTTGAAGACTTCTGACGTGCCCTGGAGACATTTCCCCCATTGTCTTGTGGATTAACATTTGGCTGCGTCTTACTTATGCAAGTTTCTGCAGCAGGCTTGAATTTCTCCTCAGAAAATGGGATTTTCTTTTCTATTGCATTGTCAGGCTGCAAATTTTCCAAACTTTTATTCTGTTTCCCTTTTAAAACTGAATGCTGGCCAGGTGTGGTGGCTCACGCCTGTAATCCCAGCACTTTGGGAGG